TGAGCCACCACGCCTGGCCTGGAATTTTTTAGAAATATAGATAAATGCAGCTGGGCACATCTGCAATCCCAGCACTTTGGAAAGCCAAGGCAAGCGGATCATGAAGTCAGGAGATTGAGACCATCCTGGCCAACATGGTGAAACCCCATCTCTACTAAAAATACAAAAAAATTAGCCAGGTGTGGTGGTGCACGCCTGTAGTCCGAGCTACATAGGAGGCAGAGGCAGCAGAATTGTTTGAACCTGGGAGGCAGAGATTGCAGTGAGCTGAGATTGTACCACCACACTACAGCCTGGGCAACAGTGTGAGACTCTGTCTCAAAAAAACAAGAAAAGAAAGAAAGAAATATAGATAAATGCAACCTAAAATTCATAGGAAATATCAAAAGCCAAAACAATCTTGAAAAAGAAAAGGAATCAGACTTCCCAATTCTGAAACTTATTATAAAGTTATCATAATGAAAGAGTTACATGTTATAAGGCCAGACATATAGAGAAATTAAATAAGATTGAGAGTTCAGAAGTAAGTGCTTACATATATAGTCAGCTGATATCAGACAAGGGTGCCAAAACTAATCTTTGGGGAAAAGAACAGTCTCTTCAACAAATGCTACTGGAAAAATTAGATATTCACAAGCAAAATAATAAATCTGCATGTTTACCTTATACCACATGCAACAATTAATTTACAATGGATCAAAGATCTTAAATATAGAGCTAAAACTATAATTATGTCTTAGAGGAAAATGCAGTAAAATTTTCTTTTTCAAAGACAGAGTTTTTCTCTTACTGCCCAGGCTAAAGTGCAATGGCGCAACCTTGGCCTTCCAGGTTCAAGCTATTCTCCTGACTCAGCCTCCCAAGTAGCTGGGACTATAGGCACCTGTCACCATGCCAAGCTAATTTTTTGTATTTTTAAGAAGAGATGGGATTTCGCCATGTTGGGCAGGCTGGTCTCAAACTCCTGACCTCAGCTGATCCACCTGCCTCAGCCTCCCAAAGTGCTGGGATTATATGCATGAGCCACTGCACCTGGCCAAAAATACAGTAAACAAATTTTATGAACTTGGATTTGGTTCCTTAATTATGACAAAAAAAGTCCTGTATAAGCAACAAAAGAAAACATACACCGGGCTTCATTAAAGTAAAAACTTTCTTATACCTGAATTGAACCTCAGACTGGAGAAAAAACAAAAACAAAACTTTCATGGATCAAAGGATACTATCAAGAATTTAAATTATACACCTGATTAAGAGACAAGCACCCAAATATATAAAGAACTCTTACAACTCAGTAACAAAAAGACAACCCAATTAATAAAAGAGCAAAGTCACTAGACATTTCTCCACTTAACTGTATGATTAAAAGTGGTCAAAAAAAACCTACAAATTTTGCTATATATATTTACCACAATTAACAAAAAAATTATTTCTAACACAGTAACTTCCTAATTTTCATAAAGTCATGTAACTGCATTTTGAGAAACTTAAACAAACAAACAAAAAAACAGACTGGGTTTCCTCTGTCACCCAGGCTGGAATGCAGTAGCCAAATCATGGCTTACTGCAGCCTTCAACTCCTGGGCTCCAGCAATCCTTCCATCTCAGCCTTCCAAGTAGTTGGGATTACAAGGTGAGAGCCACCATGCTCACCATGAAAAACATTATTTGGAACTTCAATTTACATGGTAATTTAAAAATGATGTTTAAAGATACACAAAAGCGGAAATGATTTCAGCAAGACGGGACAACATCTAGAAAATATTTAAGACAAGAATACCATCTTTAATGCACCAGAAGTAAGGGGAGAAAAACTGAGCAAAGCCACCACTGGTAAGAGAAACAGTTCAATTTCAGACTGCACCACCCTGGTCTCCTAAACTGTCAGAACACCACTTGCACACAATTTCCCTAGACTGGTCGTTTCTGAGATGAGAGGAGGGAGGTGGAGGTGGAACTCTGAGCTCTCCACAGGTCTGGGAAGCACACTCCAGTCCTGTCCCATGAGAACCACTAGGAGTGCTAGATGGGCTGAACTACCTGGGATGAAAAGAGCAAGACACTGATTGTGGTTAGATTTTGGTGATAACTTAGTGCTCCAGTCAGTGAGGACGTCCTGTTGAAGCTACTACGGAAAACAGTATGATGGTTCCTCAGGCTGGGTGTAGTGGCTCAGGGCTGTGATCCTAGCAGTTTGGGAGACCGAGGTCGGAGGACTGCTTAAGCCCAGGAGTTCAAGACCAGCTTGGGCAACAAAACAAGACCCTATCTCTATTATTATTATTATTTTTTTTGGGACGGAGTTTCGCTCTTGTTACCCAGGCTGGAGTGCAATGGCGCCATCTCGGCTCACCGCAACCTCTGCCTCCTGGGTTCAGGCAATTCTCCTGCCTCAGCCTCCTGAGTAGCTGGGATTACAGGCACGCGCCACCATGCCCAGCTAATGT